GCGCCTTCAGTGCGCGCCCGCCGGTGTGGAAACCGCATATACCATTGTGAAGCTTGTCCAACATGTACTGTGCCTCCGACCGAGCCAGACATTTGAGAAGAGGGGTTGAAAATCCCATCTTGTAGAGGTCGTCTCCTATGATGACATATCTTGACATTTTATGGGCGTTCGCTGGTTGGATCGGGCGTTCGTTGTCCTGATCTTGCATCAATTTACGAATTTCGCTACGCCAATCCTCCCCGCTGCCTGTGCCGATAGCTAGGCACTCAACCGAAGGCTCTGACAGTACTTGCCAGATTATAGTCGTTAACGACCCTTTTCCTTCCTGCTACTGAGCTTTGACAACATGTCCGCTCGGACGTTATCCTCCCATGGGATATGTTTAATATCTACCTTCTCAAACCTTTCAAGCAAAGCCTGGGCTTTATGGAAGTACTTGAGGAGGTGTTCGTCCTTCACCTCAAATTCGCCCTTCATTTGTCCGACGACGAGCTGGGAGTCCATACAACAGGTAAGTCGGCGTGCCCTCGTATCGTGAGCCAGGGCAAGACCAACTATCAGGGCCTCATGTTCGGCCTGGTTATTAGACGCCTTAAACTTGAATATAAGGGAGTGTTCCAGCAGAAAGTCGTCCGGCCCTTCCAAGACTACGTCTGCGCCCTATACTGCCCTTCTGGAAGCCCCATCGACATATAAATTCCACTCGCCCAGATCGGGAGTTTGTGGCAACTCTACAGCGAAGTCGGCCAGGTGTTGACCCCTGACCGATCCTCGGGGTTTGTACCTTAACCCAAACTCTGACAACTCTATCGCCAATTGACCATTTGTCCGGCTAGATCAAGCATCCTCAGAATCTTGGATATGGGATGGTCCGTTCGAACGACCACCTGATGACTTTGGAAGTAAGGACAAAGTCTTCTGGCCACGTTGAGGAGGGCCAGTGCCACCTTTTCCACTTGTTGATAGCGCGTTTCAGCGTCTTGTAGTACCTAGTTGACAAAGCAGATGAGTCGGGGCTCCGGCTTTTCCTGCACCAGCGCGACGCTAATTACGGTTGGCGACACACCTAGGTAAATTTGCAGTTCCTCCCGCGGCCATGGTTTGTTCATGACCGGAGGATGGGTCAGGACCTCCTTGACCTCCAAAGATGCCTATTCACACTCGGTATCCCAAGCCTTTGCGTTAGCTCCTTTCTTCATTCTTCTAACGATCGGTCTTATACGTTCGGCCAGTTTGGGAATGAACCTAAACAAGGAAGTTAGTCTACCCACCAATCTCTGAATTTCCTTGAGACTGATGGGGCTTCTCATCTCCAGGACAACCGCACACATGTTTGGATTAGCCTCTATACCGCGAGCAGTCAGCATGAAACCCATGAATCTTATTGTAGCTGGAGTAGGCGTCCAGAAAGTTGAGCATATGATGACCGGACGCCCCGTCGACCAAATCATCGATACTTGGAAGCGGGTGAGAGTCCTTGGGGCATGCCTTGTTCAGATCGGTGTAGTCTGTACACATTCGTCATTTTCTACTAGCCTTATTGACCATAACGACGTTTGTCAGCCAGGTGGTGTAGGTCACCTCTCGTATGAAATCGGCCTCCCTCAACTTTTGCACCTCCTCACTGACAGTCGTGTTCTTCTCTCTGCCTTGCCTCCTCTTCTTCTGGGCGATCGGTTTGGCCTCTATAAATAGAGCGAGTTTGTGCGACATCACTGAGGGGTGAATGCCCGATATGTCAGATGCGGCCTAAGCGAATAGGTCGCGATTACGCCAAAGGACCGCCTGTAACTCCTGTTCTACTCCCGGGTCCAATCCCCCCGCAATGTGGGTAGTCTGTTCTTCATTACGCCCTATCTTCACTTCGCAGTTCCCCAATCGGTTCAATCTGATCATCCGTGTTTGTATGTGGTCAAGGTCCGTCATTGCCACCTCAGAACTGTTCGTCCGTCGCCGTATCACCCGGGGGTGGAGCTTTAATCCTGCTGCATAACATTCTTGGGCTGTCTTTTGGGCGGCCCTGACGGTGTAGATGGTTCCCCTCTCTGAAGGGTACTTCATAGTCAAATGGGGAGTGGACACTATTGCTCCAAACACGTTTAGGCACGGTCGGCCTACGAGGACATTGTACGACGTGTTAGCGTCTACCAGCAAATATCACACCTTCTTCTCGTCGCCTTCCCGCCCGGTTCCTAAACGAGTGCAGAGGTCAACATAACCACACGTGTTCACCCGCTCTCCCGCAAACCCCACTATCTGTTCATTGTAAGGCACAATCAGGTCTTCCGACAGGTCCATGCACTGAAAAGTCTTCCAGTACAAGATGTTGGCGGAGCTTCCCTGATCAATCAACACCTTACTCACCCCGTACTGAGTGATCTCCACCGTGATCACTATGGGGTCGTTCTGTTCCAAGTCTAGAGCATGGAAGTCGTCATCCGTGAAAGTGATGGCCGACATGGATCTCTTAGCTCTCTACACTGCATTGACCGAGCGAAGGGCCTTGATATGGCGTTTTTGTGTCGATGAGGACGATCCTCCCCCAGCGAACCCTCCTGAGATGGTATTGATATGACCACGCAGTGGACGATCATTGCGCCTCTCCTACCGGGAACGGTTATTTCCGTAATTCCGCGATCTTCCCCCGCCATCTTGTCTCGACGGACTCCTGCGAGGACTACGTGGCCGTGTTGACGGGCCGATGTGTCGTTCGGTACGATCGATCTTGACATATTTCTTCAACTGTCTAGCCCGGATCAGCTCCTCGATCCGATCCTTGAGAGTTACATACTCCTCCGTGGTGTGACCCAAGTTCTGATGCCATAGATAGTGCTTGTTCCCGTCGGCGCCAGGCGGTGTTGGGTGCCTTTTAGGCACCTGTATGAGTTCAGTGCTCAAAGCTTCTTGCAATATTTTCGCCCGGGGGGCGTTCAATGGGGTGTACTGTTGGAAACGCGGGCCCCTGGGGGGCTCCTTCGGCCTGAACCCCCCGACCTTTCCCGACGGTCCTGCATGGCTCTTACCCTCTAACTTCTCCTTCGCTTCCTAGGCCTCCCTTCGGTAGGACTGCTTCATTTCCTCCACCCTTATTTCATCTGTCGCCCTTTCACGCAACTCCTCCAAAGTCTTTGGTGCCCGCTAGCAGACGCTATCTTTGAACAGTCCTGGCTTGAGTGCAGGTAAGACATATTGAAGGGCCAGCTCAGAGTTTAGACCCTTTACCCGTCGAACCATATTTTGGTAGCGGTCCATGAATGCTTTAAGTGTTTCGTCTTTGTCTTGCCTTAGGGCAGACAATTCAAAGATGGTTACATCCTGTGAATGGCAGCTGACAAACTACCGCCCGAACATGGCCTTAAGGCCGTTAAAACTTTCTATAGAATTGGGGGGCAGAGAGTTGAACCATTCTAGGGCTTCTCCTTCTAAGGATAAAGAAAACGCTCGGCACCAGATTGCACGGTCCCTTGCCCGGTCCCTTGTCCGGAACGCCATCCGGGTAGTAAATGCCTTCACATGATCGTCAGGGTCGGTTGTCCCATCGTAAATGATGAGCTACGGTGGGACGAAGTGCTCGGATATGTGGATGTCCATGATAGCTTGGACGAATGGTAGGTTTTAGAGATATCTTCAACTTTCACCGCTAGCTGTTTGTTCAGGGCCGCACTCTCCTCCTGGTCGGCCTTAACCTTACTTCCCTCGACCTCCGACCCGGACAGTTTCCAGGTAGGATCAGGCATGCTACTATGCTCCGAAACACCTTCTTGAGCTGCCTTGCCACACTCCTCTTCGGTTTTCTCTCCCGCCCCGGATCTTCTCTCCTGTGCTGTGCGAGCTGAGCACTCGGCTCGCATGACTGCCATCTCTGCCTCATGTCGTTGTTGCAACTCCTCCATCTGCTGTTGTAACATTCTTCTAACCTGTGTTTTACCTTAATCATTTATGCAAACCTACCTGCCATGCCCGTCCGGTTTGAATCCTCGAGTCATGCCGAACGTCCCATATATTATTTTGTTTGGGACCGTCAGGGGTCATCTGGTACAATTTGAATACTAAAGCAACTGAAGAGAAAAGTAAAACGATAACAAATCAATAAAAACAAAAAATTAACAAAATTTACGAGCAATGTGGATCCTACCCATACGTCGTCGTCATGTTGAACCAAAATCCATAGTAAAAGATATCAAACAGAGAGTCCACTCCACATTGGTGAATTGATATGCAAAGGGCAATGTTATGATGAAGGCATGGAATGAACTTGGAGGAAGGGGCACAAATTCTATCAGTCAGCACTGCACTTTCCACAAATAGGATCCCCTTCAACCAATCCTCTCATAATTCTTCTGGAAAAACCGCGTCTTTGGACTTCCATTTTTTCGCTGAATAAAGGGTTGAGAAGAATTTAGAAAGGAAGTTTCCGTTGGCCAACCAAGAAATCTGATGGCCAATTTCACTATATATTATATAACACATTCAGTTGATGAGTCAGCACTGCACTTTCTCATACTGAATCAATCAAGTATGGCAAACTGTATTTACAGCTTATTGCTTATAGCCTTCTATATGATGGGTGAGGTATCATCTGTCATTGGTGGCGCCATGCCTTCTTCTTCCATCAATGAAGAACGACAGGCTTTGCTCCACAGCGGTTGGTGGAATGATGACAGTAATATCTCTGACCATTGTGATTGGGAGGGTATCTCTTGCAATGAAGCTGGGAGTATTACTGCTATTGAAAGATGGAAGATTCCTTCATCAAAAGAATTGCTTTGGATTGAGAAGTTCAACGTCACTGCCTTCCCCAACTTAGTCTATCTGCGTCTATATGGAATGGGTCTTAGAGGAACTATCCCTAAAGAAATAGGCTCACTTACAAACCTTACCACCCTAGTCCTCACCAACAATCATCTCCAAGGTAAGTAATTGCACTTCTCTTGATTGCATTACCAATGTAAATTCTGTCAATGGAAGAATTAATCTAATTATCTCTTTCTTGCTCTAATTCAACAGGTTCAATACCACCACAACTTGGAAACTTGACACAATTGAAGATGTTATCTGTCTCTCAGAATTCTTTATCAGGTTTAATTCCATTTACACTTGGTCAACTCATCAATTTGCAATTTCTCTATCTTGAATCAAACAAACTTGAAGGTAGGATTCCGACAGAATTGGGGAATTTGATAAAATTACAGACATTACATCTATCACGTAATTTATTCACAGGTTCAATTCCTCATACATTGGGTCAATTAGAGAACTTGATGGATTTCTTCTTTGAATCTAACCAAATTACTGGTCCTATACCTATAGAATTTGGAAATTTAAAAAGTTTACAAAGATTACATCTCTCAAATAATTCCCTCAACGGTTCAATCCCTCCTACTTTAGGTCAATTGGAGAATTTGGTACATCTCTACCTTAATTATAATGAAATAGAAGGTCAGATACCTGAAGAATTAGGAAATTTGTCCAAGTTGGAAATTTTGCAACTTTCTCATAATAGGATTTCAGGTTTACTACCTCCAAAACTCTTGCAAATGGACAAAGTATTCTGTTTACATCTCTCGTCAAATCAGTTATACGGTTCAATACCATTAGAAACTATGAAATGTCCCCATACTGTTGATTTAAGCTTCAACTTCTTTAATGGAAGCATAACCTCTCGAATTGGTTGTGTGAGTGACCTCAATCTTAGTCACAATTTCCTTGTTGGTGAGATTTCACCTCTTTTGAAAATGAGTTTTGTTCTTAGTCGATTGGATCTTAGCTATAATAATCTTTCGGGTAAAGTACACAAGGAACTTGCTAGTCTATCATATATAAACCTTTCATACAATTCCTTTGACTTTTCACAAGACCTTGACTCAAAATTGGAGGTACCAGATTACTGTTTTTTTCAGGAAGACTCATTAATTGATGATCACCACATGCCCAATTTTACATACTGCAACTTGCTCAATGAGACAAATCCTCAAAGTAGAAAAAATAAGCCCATCATTTTGTTAATTGTTCTTCCAGTCATTTTCTTCAGTGTTGTAATACTCCTTCTAATATTATATTTCTCAAGATGTATTCCTAAGAAAAAATGTGAAGGAATATCAACAAAGAATGGAGACTTGTTTTCTATATGGAACTATGATGGTAAAATTGCATTTGAGGATATCATTGAAGCAACCGAAGACTTTGACCTTAAGTATTGCATTGGGACAGGCGCATATGGTTGTGTTTATAGAGCACAACTACCCAGCGGCAATATTGTTGCATTAAAAAAACTCCATTGTGTGGAATCCCAAAATCCATCTTTTGACAAAAGTTTCCGTAATGAGGTGAAGATGTTAACAAAAATCCATCATAAAAATATTGTAAAGCTTCATGGTTTTTGCCTCCACAATCGGTGTAAGTTTTTGGTCTATCAATACATGGAAAGAGGTAGTTTATTTTATACTTTGAGTAATGAAGTGGAAGCTAAGGAGTTGAATTGGAGTAAGAGGGTGAATGTTATTAAAGGAATGGCAGAGGCTTTATCATACATGCATCATGATTGTAGCCCACCAATTGTTCATCGAGATGTAACAAGTAGCAATGTTCTGTTAAACTCAAAATTAGAGGCTTATATCTCAGACTTTGGCACAGCTAGACTCCTTCAACCTGATACATCAAATCAAACCTTGGTAGTTGGCACTCGTGGCTACATTGCTCCAGGTGAATGTTATTTTCTATTACAAAACTACAATATTTTTGTCAATATCTAGAATTGATGTAATAATTTATTTTTATAATTTGAGTTTCCTTTCTTTATTTTTTTTATAACAGAGCTTGCTTATACATTAAGCGTGACAAAAAAATGCGATGTTTATAGTTTTGGAGTGGTGACTTTGGAAACATTAATGGGAAAACATCCTGGAGATCTAATCTTGTCATTATCAAACCCAAGAACTGAAAATATGTTCGTGAAAGATCTTTTGGATTCACGTCTTCCTCTGCCTCTCTGGAGAGAAGCTCAAGATATCATTCTCGTGATAACACTAGCATTATCATGTTTGTGCTCCAAACCAAACTTAAGACCATCAATGCAACAAGTGGCTGAGAAACTCTCAAGTTTCAAACTAGTATTATCTTTGCCTTTTCATGAAATTTTGATTCGTGAATTAATGAGTCAAGACATATTTCATCTTTCTTTGAATTGTCAAGGATGAACTCTATTAAGCCAAAGTTGAGAAAAGTAATAATGCTTTGCATGTTAAAAACAAGAAAATTTCGTTGATTGAATATAATAGATACATGTTATTGTTGTTTGTTTTTTAGTTTACATTAATAACTTTACCATTTTGATTTACCTTTTCTCTATGTGTCGTGACTTTTTTCTTTATCTCGTGTAAAGTGCAAATATCAATCTCCATAAATAATTGTTTGTACAGACTAAGCTGAATTGAAATTATTCACTACACAAACTCAATGTTTATACATATATTTTGATTAAAAATTGACGTAGAGCAATTTATAAATTATGACAAAGATGATGATTATTTTTTCCATTTTTCATTAGTAAATTGAAAATAATATTTTTTGAAGATGATTAACATTGCATCTTAACAAACATTCCACAATTTTTTATTTGTTTAAAATTAATTTGAAAATTGTTTTCACCTGTTTTCTTCTAAGTCTTTTTTTCTTCTAAGTCTTTCCTTAAAATAACAAAAACTTGGATTGAAAACCACTACAAAGGTTATTGTGTTAACTTAAAAGTATTAGTCGACCTATAATTATTTAAAACTAACACATACAAAAGAATGAAGAAAATTTATTTGAGTTAGAATTTAAAAGAAAAAACACCTTTTTTAATTTGAAATAATTTAAAGATTACAGTGGGTTCTTATTATGATTTTTGTTCTTACCAAAATATCAACGTAATCACGCAAGTACTTGAATTTTAGAATGCTGTCAAAACTTCCTAGGGCTCGAGCGCCACCATGATAGTGCTGAGCGGTGGAAAATGGCATTGAGTAGTGTAATTCTAGAGAGCAGGGCATTGAGGACCACATTCTGGCATTTTGTAGTGGCGACGCTGACATGTCAAAATGAGTTATTTAAGCGTGGTTCTCGTCAGGTTTTGGGATTCTTTTCCTCCTACTCTTCATTCTTCACTTAGGGCGACTAAAAGAGGCCCTTTGAGGCTGTTTGGGGTACTGGGAAGATCTCCCACTCCTCCTTGGGTCTTCAAGCTTCATTTATAGTATATGTTATATTATATTGTGATGATAGTATATATGTCTATATAATATATGTATATATACATGTTTAATTACAAATTTATAAAATTGTGGAATGTTTGTTGTGAGATGCAAGGTTAATAATCTTCAAAAAAGTTATTTTCCAATTATCTAATGAATAAAAGTTGAAAAAATAATCATCATCTTTGTCATAATTTATAAATTGCTCTACGTCAATTTTTAATCAAAATATATGTATAAACATTGAGTTTGTGTAGTGAATAATTTCAATTCAGCTTAGTCTGTACAAACAATTATTTATGGAGATTGATATTTGCACTTTACACGAGATAAAGAAAAAAGTCACGACACATAGAGAAAAGGTAAATCAAAATGGTAAAGTTATTAATGTAAACTAAAAAACAAACAACAATAACATGTAAATTCGATTATATTCAACAAACGAAATTTTCTGTTTTTAAATGCTAACGCATTATTTACCTTTTCTCAACTTTGGCTTAATAAGTTCATCCTTTGTCACTGTGTCGTAGTGTAGAAGATGTGTAATATGTCTGTTGACTCATTAAGTCACGAATCAAAATTTCATGAAAAGGCCTAAGATAATACTCGGTGGGTGAAATTGAGAGTTTGTTCAGCACTTGTTGCAATTGTGGTCTTAAGTTTGGGTTGGAGCAGTAACATGTGATAATGATAGTGTTATCACGAGAATGATTATCCTAGCTTCTCTCCAGAAGGGCAGAGAAAAGACGTGAAGTCCATGTAGATCTTTCACGAACATATTGTTCAGTTCTTGGGTTTGTATAATGATCAAGATTAGATCTCCAGGATGTTTTTGTGTTCCCCCCAGTAGTAATTGTTCCAAAATGTTCACCACTCCAATAAACTATAAACATCGCATTGTTTTGGTCACGATTAATGTTTGTAAGCAGCTCTGTCTTGTTATATAAAAAAAAATAAAGAAAGGAAA